TGAAGGCCTTCTGGTTCAGATAGAACTGTCATTAGCAGAGGCTTGCAGGGCTATGTGATGCCTTTTAGTATTATTATTACTATCATTGTTGTTATTGGCGATGCAACAGCAAACGTCCTCAGCTACACTCTTATTGCTGGTAGCTCATGTTTCAAAGTTAGAGTTAAGTTACTTCATCTAAATTTCTCATATCAGTTTGTTGAGATGGTATATCTGTGATTAGTTTTTAGCGTTATGTCCATAGAAGAGTACACAAACAAAGGTAACCCACCTGCATCTGTCAGGGGTAGAATAGCTGCGCCATTTGTGCCATTGTGCGCCAAACTTGCTTACCTGCGTTATCCTGCGCCGAACCACCCTCGGTGCGCCAAACTCACCTATCAGCGCCGTAATGCGCCTCAGCACCAGAATTCAGCCGCAAAATTCAAAATTTGTCAAGCGCCGCACCCAAAAACGTGCCTGAAATGTCTTTTTGGTTTCATTGAAACAGTTACAGTTTCGGTTTTGTATAGCCTATGATCGCTCCAGGAGCAGCTGTGAACTTTGGTCCTAAGGGCGGCGTTGCGATCGCTATGTGCTCGCGATCACGGCAGGCATCAGTGCGAGTGGCTCGTTACACTTCTACGTGCTGCGCTCTCAACGTCAGGAGACTGCGAGAAGAGCATCTTTTCTTTTTTTTTTTTGGCACGGCTGTATTCTCTTAATAAAACTTGTTAAGCTAGTTGGTTATTCGTCATATTGTAAGAATTACTTTAAGGGCTGCGTGTCGTATGTGTTACTCAGGTGGATGTGCGAGTGTTTTCGAAAGTCAAGGTTGTGCTAAATTCTTACAGTATTTTCTTACGCTAGCGTTTTGAAGAGTTACGCTATATCTGATCTAAAAGAGTTGGCTGCCAGTCTTACAATTTGTTGCTTTTGCATGCATTGCTTCGCCATTCCGGGTAACTGTTTTTTTTTATAGCTTTTTCGAACACGGCAAAAAAAGGATGGCAGTAACGGTGCTCAAAAGGAGGGGGGGTGTCTGGTTCCCGGAACAGCCTAGCAGTGCCTGGTGCGCATGATTGCTCCACGAATGTATGCGCGTATTCTCGTTCATTTGACTGCTTCGCTTTGTGCTTATCCACTCGGCGGTTGACGTTCGCTCGTTCAGGCAAAAAAAAAAAAAATGCATGTGTGGCTGTACATAGCTAAATCACATTTGCACCGCAAGGTTGAAGCAATGAATGTGACGGCAGTGAATCGTAATTTTATACGAAATGAGGCCTACAGCTAACTCTTTTGGATTCCTTCTTATGTAAGTGTACAAAACGCTGGTGTACGAGAATATGGCCACTTCAAGGAGTAACACTTTTCGCACAGCCTCTTTGCTAATGGCTGCTGAGATAGCGTGAGCGCTAGCAATCATGAGCATGTCCTCAAAAGCAATGTTCATAGTTGTTACTCTGGTGACACATGCCCCGCGCCCCCGTCGCTTGTTTTTTAATGCCATTCTAAAACGGGCGAGGCGCTTCCTCTCTGCTTCAAACAAGCCTCTTGTGGGGGAGAGTGTTGTATGTTATTGCACGAGCCCTCTAAGTGCCAGAGGGGGCTGGATGGTTTGATCTCTGCTTCAACCATGTTCGATCAACTTTGGGCTGTCCAGAGAGCCTGCTGCGGTGGTGTAGCCTAGGTCTAACTGTCCCCACGTGGGAGCGGCCCGCGATGTTGCACTATGGGGTGGCACATCTCTGGATCTCTTAGTTCTTCGTGCCATACCGTGCGATGTTCGTCGCCCTAGCTCGCGCATAGAACATACGATGCGCAGTGGTATGTTATCAATTAGGTAATGTATATGGGACATGATGGCAATGGCAAAAGCCTGCTGGCAGTGTCCATATACGAATCTTTATCGCAACGATGAGGCTATCGCACAATTTAGCTGATTGTTTGAAAGGTGCAGAATTGAACAAATGTTGCTTCACAAGTGCTCTGAACGGGGCTGCATCTGCTCGAAATGTTCTTACTGCTCTTACTAGCTCGAAAAGGCCTTTCTGGCTGCTCCTAGCCTGCTCCAAAACATCTTTGTGGCTGCTGCAAGCCTGCTACAAAAAGCAATTTTGCTTGCTCCCAGGACTGCTCCCAAAACCATGTACCCTGTTTCACCTCTGATCTGTGATAAATCTGTGGAATCGAGGGAGCTGTTGCTGCCAGACAGATTTCTTCTTGCCGGCACATATTCAAAAGTCATCGCTTTAAACACTACCGCTAGCTTTCATTGCAGGAATCTGAGGACTTTCTCGAACCCTAAGCGTCAGACATGGAGGAAGAAAAAGAAAGGAGGGAGCATTACATGTGACCAAACATTGGAGCTTGTGGTAGGTTTTAGTACTCTCGGTTCTGGTTCTGTCTTTGAACAACCTGCATGAGCCAGCCGGTCTGCACCGAACTAGTGTGTTTTGATTAAAAGCTACCAGGCGCCGTACTCCGAAGTATCGGCAAGTCTCATTGCTGGTGGGATTTTGCGGAAAAGGTGACATGTTGGGTCGACAATGCTGGCTTCAAAACGGCACGGCTTGCCAAGGCTACCCGCATAACGTCGCACTCCCTCCCTTCTTTTTCTTCCTCCATGGCATCAGAGCCCAAAGAAATTAAACATCAACATCCATGTGCTCGTCGTAGAGAAAGAAAACAAGAAAGAAAGAAAATTATGCTGCGCGGCTTTGTTCTTGCGACATTGTTGGTCATTGTCCACGCAAGGTGCACAGAATGCACGAGTTGTGTATAGTTATTATTTTTTTGCTTAAAGGTATATATTAGACGGGTACAATTTAGGTGGGGATGCAAATCAATAGTACATACAGCAATCTAGGTCGCATCAGATCCAGTCTAATCCACATCCTTAATAGTAAAGTCAGTAAATACAGGTCGATCTAATCCAATCCAATCCACATCCAAAGTGGCCTGAATTGTAACCATTATAGTGAACTAGAACATACTCTAATGGTGGAACCGGTCGGGCTGCTTTTACACAGATACCACGAGATGGTGCCACTTCTAGATTTTCTAGCAGCTTTGGCTGCATTTTAGGATTATCAAGGGCTCCTTCAAACTTGCAGCTGCAGTTAGTTTTAACCGATCTGTTAGCATTCTGCCAAACAACCAACTCTGCTGACTCTCTGGCTCAGAGGTATTATTTTGGCCAGATATGCATATTTTTTTCACATTTAGTGCAAACACTCTAAACACTCCAAGCATGTGCGATACATATTTTTTTACTTATTCGATAAGATTGCCTAATTTTTTTCATCACCATAGGGTCTGTTTCCAATGCCCAGAGTTTTCAAAGCAGGCGTAACAGTCATGGAGTTTGCTTTAAATCATCATGGAAAACCTGGAAAAATCAGGGAATTTGAAAAAGTAGATCGGTAGACACCCTGATGTCGCTTATGTGTCTTCTATTGTCTACGTTTCATTGCACTGCACATTCTTAGTATATGAGAGAGCTACAGAGTACATAAATCAGCATACCGAAAACTGTACGCAAGGAATGTAGTCGACGAGGGTTGCAGTGGGGCTCGTTGGTGGTTCACTTGAACAGCTTTGATGGAGTGCAAAAGCACACATGGGACACCTCACAATGCTACTAGCAAGCAACACATTTAGTTTAAAAAGTCGGACCACTTTCACACTGCGATCGCCATGCAGACAGTTGAACTCATCAGATAACCTAGAATATGCACAAAAAAAGTCACTCTACCTAAGCAAAACCGCAAGAAGGATAACACCATGAATTATTGCTTGCGCAAGAACCTCAACTTTGTAGGTGACAATGCAATGGATGGCTTGCAATCAGACAAGAGAAGGCACGTAAGTGACATAGACTGGCACTGCCTTTGTTTCTTTGTGCTGCAGATACTCAGTATATATCAAGGCATGTACCGCCAATAAACCTTCTAGAACTTTCTGAGTTTAGGCAAACTGTTGCTCCCGTGATAACTTATGGATGGTTTCATATTTTAGAGAGCACATATTGCACTAGAAAAATAAACATTTGAATTGTACACAAAAACTGGGTTAGTAAATATCTATCACAAACTTGAAGAGGTCTCCAAGTGCTGTGTCCCACCTGAAATGTTTTTTGAAACTGTGTTCGAGGTTAGGCTACAATTCAGTAAATCATGTGCATCATGATTTCAGCAAAACACCAGCATCATGGTTTCAGCATCGAGGGAGCTATGAACGTTTAAATGTCAGCCTCCTCTCAAGCAGTGCTTTTCTCCTCAACATCTTCTGTCATGCATTTCGCAACGAGCTTCTTTTTCTGCGATCAGCTGCCAGTGCTCTGTTCTTGCCTAGCTGATTTGTGTGCCACCGGGTGCCCAGCATTTCTTACATTCTCCATTGGCACAAGAGCCAGTCAGATCGGTCGCACGAGTGATGCTACAGATTCATGCTTCGCCTCAACTGTGCAGAGCAGGCTTGGTGTGACGGCATGCTGCTATTTGTAGCAATATGTTTCTTTACTTTAAAGCCCTGGTAACAAAAAATCACACTTTGATTGTTCTGATATTGATAGAAAGGACCTTTATTGTCACATGGAATTGGAAAAATGAAGAATGATGTTTTAACCAACTGGCATCCTTACACCAACATAATTCTCAAATTCTTCAATGAGAAACTTGGATTGTTAACAAGAACAGAACTATTAAATACCAAATGCTATAGTTTTGTTATCTAACTGTTCTAAATCAATTACACAAAGAAAATGGCCTCAGTGTATCTATTACGCTGCTAAAAAAGCTGTGCGACATATTGATTTGATTGCCTGTGCTCCTCTTTTAAACTATATGAAATGTTTGAATGATAACTTGCTTTATTAGTTCCGACCATGGTTGTTCACTCTGTCCTGAAGCTGCCCCCTGTTTCCTTCAATGCAGCCCGGGGATCTTGGCATCCTTGTTGAAAATAAACTCCATTCGGTTTTCATGCCCTTCTAGCCGCCTCTCTGATTGCTTGTGCAGTTGACATGGGGCTGTACATATCGGTGGATGCCGGCCGTCACGTGAGTGAGATCAAGGCTGCTCGGCAATGGAACGGACGGGTGACGGCATTGGCCTTGCGAGGCTCTCTGCTGGCCATTGGCCTGTGCAGTGGCTGGCTGTGCGTGTACCGTGTGCGAGACTCTCTCGTCGACATGGAGTACAGGCAGCCAGACTGGAGCCGACAGCTTTACGAAGACCCAGTCATAGCTGTCGATGTGACCAGCGAGCCAGACACGAAGCAGCCCACTGTTGTAGCGGCCACGCGCCAAGAAGTTCATGTGGTAACTTGGCTTTTCGGCTCTGTGTAAAAATGTCGGGCTCCACGTGACTCCTATTTATTTTATTTATTGTTTCCTGCAAGAAAGCTTGGACAGTTTTTCCAAGATGTTTCTTTTTAACATGGAAATGTGCTGCTGTGGTACACAATACTGTAGTTTATTACACTCGGAACAATTTTGGTGTATATAATGGCATAGTTCAGTCATTGTTAGTGGAAGCAATGCCTGTTGTTGAGAAACATTACATTCTTCTTTCAAATACAATGTGCAATCCAAGAAGATGTAGGTTTAGGTGATGAGATTAAACAGAATGCACCTGAATTTTACTGTGGTGATGTGTATTGTTTTCTTAATAATTACAATACAAGTAGCCTTTAGAGGTGGTGTGTACAATTGTATTCGACTATGAAGGCGTGTTAAGCTTTTCAATGAAACGGGCAGTGTGAACAGGAACAATCATCGCGACGAACTGCATGCGCTCGTTTCATCCTCTTCGACTTCTTTTCCGCAAGACATGGTGCCTATTTTTTCAGTGTGGAATGGGACTGCCACCTGCCTGGTTTTATTTTGGCCTGGACGGTTTTCGTGACCATTGTATTGTGATTATTTACTTTTTTTATTGCATATTATAAGCATAATTTCTGCAACTGCGAAAATACTACATATTTTACCTTGGTCATCAACTCTCACGCAGTTTTCAACCAATTTGTATCTTGTTGGTATAAAAGCACAAAGTAATCGATTCCTCCAATAATACCGATTCCTTAACTAGAGTGAAAAATGAACCTCAGTGGTTACATGCCTTCATGATGACGGCAAATTTTGTGCCTTTGAACTAGCAAAAATTAAGTTAATGTCTCTTGAGAAAGACTAAAGATCTCAACCCGGCAACGAGAGCTGGCTCCTGGCTGTGAACAACATGTTTTAATAATAATTTCTAGGGACTTTATGTCCCATAAGATGGCATGTATGTAGACTGTATTGGCTCGTATTTTTTCGCCAATGCCTGTTCAGCTCCACGAAAAGGAGAATAAACAACCACCAGTTTGTAGCACGACGCCACAAGGAAATTCTTGCGAATTTCTCAGGGAGAAAGCTTCTTCAGTTGTCAAAAAATTTGTCCCGAGTCTAGGATTTGAGCTCTGGACCAATGTGTTTCCGGAGCGGTCGTTGTACCAATTGAGTTGGTTCTCTGGCCATCAAATGACTCTTGCGCCATAGAACACCATACATCACCAGCTCTACCAGGAATCTAGCAATAGGGTATGTTCAAATTGTCAACAGTTACTCATGTGGCGTGTTTCCACGTTAGCCACGTGACAGCTAGTCAGCGTGACAAAGATTATAACATCACATATCAGGCAGTCTCGTGACATGTCAAGTCTAGCCATACATATAGTACTGTTACTAACAAACACTTAGTGTCCCCAGCTAAAGCTTGTCATTACTAGCAAAACTTGGCTATGTTGACCTCTCGCTCCTTTGTGGTTACAGCCTTGCAGCTCTAGTGTAAGGTGCAAACTTTTTTTATTCCAAATGGCTTCAAACGCAGCGTGCACATTTGTACAGGCTGAGTGGACAACAAGCGGTCTATTAAAGGGGTACCTTTAAAGGGGTACCTTTTAAAGGGGTGCTGCAAAGTGTACCTAGGAGCCTGTTAGTCATACCAGAAGTCGGATTTATAGGCACTAAAAAACCAGGTTTTAGGTGCCAAAAGTTTTATGCTTCTAAAATAGTCAATATAAGCACAATAGACTTTGACAAAATTCAAGTTTTTGAAGAAATACGTGTGGGATCTGTGTCTGGGTGATTCCACGAGAGATCGACACGGGTCCAAAAGTTGATATTTTAGATTTCATTGAGTATTTTATATTTCGTGCACCTCTCACCAGGTAGCCCGAAAATCAACTTCGTTTTATGATTAACGGCATAACTTACGAGAAAAAAAATATCAAACTTCACCCACACGGAGGCACCAATTTCGTCACCTGTCATTTTCGAAAATTGCAGATGCTACAAAAATACAAATACTTTTGTTTCAAGGAAGATATTTTTTACCTGAAATGCATGTCTAATGAAGAATGAATTCATACGGTTTCAAATTTGTAGACCTTAAGAAAATAGCTTTTAAAAATGTCTAATTTTGCTACACGTGTAAAATAAGTTACGTATTCCCCATTTTGTTTTCTCCTGAAAGTAATGCAAGCAGCGTTGTCAAACTTGACACGTTTTAAGAGTATAGTGTGTTCATTAGGTACATAAATTATTGCTGCCGTAGGGCAAATGTAAATTTTTATATATTGCCTCAAAGTTCTCATATTGGCAAAAGTGTACTCCACTGATATTTGAATAATAAAAACACCCCATCTTCGATTTTTCTTAAAATCTCGTAAATAGACAACCGAAGGCCATCACACAGTAGATTAGAAAAACATGTTGCATTATTTTGTTTTTAGCGACAATATTCGTGGTACAAATCAGAGCTTTTCGAGAATGCACTGATAAGTTGAGAAATCTAGAAATCGGAACGGGAAAAGCGGCAATAAGCTTCAAACGCGAGTAAACGTGACCGCATTTGGTGAAGAAAGGCTGTTTTAGCAGATAGGAGTAACTATTTTGAACACGGTATTCTACAGTATCTGAATTCACTCTTATACGTAGAGCACTGAGACTTCTAATATGTGGTGCCTCTCCATTACTGACACACAGATGGAGCTGCTGTGACGGCCATGTGTTTGCAACACGTTGGGTAAGAGAATTGAATGTTGAATGAGTTCATAAACGATTCATAACAAATTTTTATCATTTGGGGGACGAAGACTGCCGCATTAGACTGAAGAACACGCTTTAGGGCAAAAGTTGTCATGCGTCGTCTGCTTGTGGATATTGTCATCCGTCGTCTGCACTGTGGATACTTGCGCACAAGTATCCACAGTGCGAATGCAAAACTGAAGTATAGTACGTTAAAATGAATTTCACAATGTTTTTGTCGATACAATTACGGGAGGCGTAATCTTTGTCCCTACTTTGAACCATATGATCTAAAGCATTGCCTCCGAGATGCGGCGCACAGCAATTCATCTGTAGAGTCATTACAGCATGTTTCTTGCTATGCATTTACGATGTGTGCAGTGATATATATATACACAGTAACCACTAATGTTGTTGAATTAGTCCAATGGTTTCGCAATGCAAGAGTAGTTTATTTCGTGCACATAGCATGGTGAGCTCTGTTGGTTCTTCTTAATTCATTGCTGAGGTATGAAAGGATGTCAATTCATCACATTTCAGTAGTTGGCCCTTTGAGTTGTCACTTGTGGATGCCCGTGACTGCTTCTTCAGTGCAGCTGGGCCGATTACAATTTTAGGCACGTGTTTCCCATGCTCTCATTAGTTTGAACCAGAACGACTGTGTATGTGACTGCTGCACCGGCGATCTGTAACAGAAACCAAACCTGTGAGCAACATGTTACTTCCTGGTAAAAGCAGGCTAAATGTTAGCCACCTTAGCAGTGGGAAAGCATTCCCTGAAATAAAACACAAACTCAGGCATCGTTATCACACATTTCCAAGCAATCGTTGAGTGACCTCACTTTAGCAGTTTACAGCTTGACCAATCAATGCTGCAAAGAATTTTGGAATCTGCCAAACACGAGTGGGGTTCATATTTATTGCAGGCTTGATGTTTTCTCTCAGCTTTCATCCCAAGTAGCGTGTTAAATGCTACACAGGGCTGATGACCTTGAAATCTTTTTTTTTTTTCTGCGTTGCACATGTCAACTTTTCACGTGGTCCTGAGAGCACTTGCATAATTTCTGCCCTACAGAGTATGGTGATAAATTTCCTGAAACTTCCTAAACTAGTGGCATATTTTGAAGAAAGCATACCCTCTTTCTATTCTCCCTCCTCCGCCCTCTCCTTGGCTGGCAGTTGTGCCGTTATTCGTCTACTGCAGTCATGTGGAATCGTGCGCAAGGTTGTTTACAGTCAGGGCTGGGCAAAGATGCCTTGAAATTGTATTGCGATACAATAGAAGATACCCGGACAAAAAGTAATGGTAATATAGATACAAGTTACTGTTGCAAAAATAGTATCCGACACAATACTTGCCAATCGTATCTTAAGATTCTTCGATACATTCGCAAATCTGTAGTAACAGACCTCCACAGTCTAGTAATGAATGCGTGGATACAAAAGCGATAGCTTGAAAGCTCCTGAAATGTGCCCCATTTCATTTTAGTGAAATTTTATTGGTAACTCAAAAGTTTTGTTTCCAAGTAATTTAGTTTACATCCAAAAAAATGTAATAGTGCTTGATTTACCTGTTTAACAGGACAGCTCTGTAGGCATTTTGCTGGCAGTGGTTCTTCCCTGCCATTTTTGTAATTGATGGGAGTCGCTGCTAAGCTTGCAGACCAGCCAGCAGATTGCCATCTAATCACATGAGCTTCAATAAGAAGCCTTCGCACGATGGCGCAAATACCAGTGTGCAGTTTCAGCTTCTTTACAAAAAATTGTTTTGCAATACTGAATCACCGCTGTACAGCAGCAATGACGCCAGTCGCGACCTTTTTGTGGAACATTGTGTATATAGGCAAGCCTATATAGAGCGCATAAAGCTGCTCTTACCTTTCTTATTCTTCATACCTGCCGGCGTGAACCAGTCGTTATCTAAATACTCACTAACGAGCAATCAATTTTCTTGAGCGAGAGAAAATGTGCATCTCAGAAACGCCTCAGACCTATTGTAATGTCGCATGTTGGTGACTACGAAGAAAGCGGCCATCACTCTGGTAGAAATAAAACTAATAAGCTAACATTTGCCCATAAATGTAAGTAATTAAAACTACAAGCAATGCGCGCTGTACTCTGACAGCGGCAAACAGTGTCATCGGCCTTCGGTAATCTTATTGGCAGAACGCGTCTTGTATTTATACAGCAGTGATCACACATTCCAGCACTATCGCCAGTGCATGCGTAAAGTCACGAATTAACAAGAGCACGCATTGGTGCCTAATTTGAATAATAATTTTTCAGTTTTTATGTCCTAAATTTATGATATGATTACGTGGACCTTCGAAAGGGAGAGTTCCGGAAATTTCAGCTATGTGGTGTTCTGCAATCAAACCTAAGTGCATGCCCCTCTAGCATTTCAACTCCATCGCCAGGCGGCCGCCGTAGCCGGATTTGCGAGTAATCTTAGCAGTACAACCTGGAACAATCTCAAAGTTTACGAAATATTGCAGGTGGCTTGCGTTGAGGGGTTATCAGTTTTTTGTGACTTAGACCTGATCACACCAAATTGAGAAACTAAAAAATAAAAATAAGAGTGTGTGGCAGTGTAGTTGCACAAATCGTCGCAAGTCAATGCCACTATTCACGCTATTGCCGCCTATAGCTATGATTCCCTGGAAATTAATAAGAGCTAAAAATGGGGAGGTATAAAAAAGGCAAACATTTATAACTAAAATAAAAAAAGCCATTCTGTTTCAAGCATTCGTGGTGAATCAGTTGACATGTACAATACTGGTGGCACTCCTAATATCTACGGCAATTAAACCTTAGGAGTGGCACCTGTATGTGCAACTGGAGAGCAGCATTCGCATTTGTGTGGCAATCACCACACTCAGTGTGGTGCACGGTGCTTGCAAGTGGCTAAGAGTAACTTGTCATGGTTCTTGCAAAACTAAAAATGGAATAAATCTAGAAAACAAAAGACACGTGGGCAAATACGCGAATGTAGTTTCTGTCGAGACTGCACGAGCTCTGTCATGTTGCTCCCGAAAGGGTTGTGCACACCTGATTGCCTGCCCAGACTGTGGAGTCTGACGTAAATATAAAATGATGTCATTGCTCTTAGTTTTATCAAGGTGGCTAAGTGGCACCAGTACTACCTTGAGGACCAAAGTCAATCAGCGATTGATATTTCGCTCAGTGTAGAATTGCGACTGCAGTATCGTGTATCTCAAGATGTATTGGAAATACAGATATTGATACTCGTCTTGGGAAACAGATCAGGATACAGATATCTCAGATACAGATATCTCAGATATAGATATCTCAGATAAATGTATCTTCCCTGTTTACAGTCACTCTCCACTGATATCTTTGCTCCACATCTCTCAGCACTCTGGCAAAGATTGTATATATTATGTGTATTCATAGTGGTTGCTCTGAGTGCTTTGTGGTGGATCATAAATTTGATTGCAAGGGTGGCGTTGTTTTCTATTGTCATGGGTAAATGCTTTGGGAGTCTAAAGTAAATTTAGCAATGGCAAAAATCTCCAAGCGACAATGTAGGCAGACTCACAAAAAGGAACATATGAATGCACCAAATCATAGTGGAGAAATTCAGCCCAATATCTTATTTGAGTTAAGAGTATCTCTATGCAGTACATTTCGAATTTCGCACAATTTGCCTTATGCCTTAACATTGTGAACAGGTTAAATTTCATTGAGCTTGTCACTGTTTCTTTTGTACACTCCAACACATTTTGTGTGGAACCTTTACTTTGCATCAGCAATACACTCTGCTTTTGTGCACTCAATGTTAAAGATAGCTAACTCTCCGAAGGCGCAGTTGTCTTTCATGCGCATAACGTTAAAAACATAAGCCAATATAGCAACACATGCAGGCATGTGCAAGAATGTTATTGCAGAACTGTATCAATTCAGCGCAGTTCTTTTTACAAACCGTAGGGTTCTGTTGCAAAACTGCACATCGTCTGCTATGGTACTTTCGGTTCGAGGCCTATTCCTCCAATGCTTTAATCTGCCTGCTATGCAGTGTAATCGGGGAGAAAACACGTGCGATTTTGTGACGTGTTTCTTGCTGCTTGTTCAGTATTTGTGTTTCATTCTTTTTGTGAATGGATAAGCGATATTTCTCGTATTTCAGATAACGAAGCGAGAAGTGGAAGTGGGCAAACACGAATAAAGGTAAGAGGCACATTTAGAGTGCAACACACGGTTATGCTTTGAAACATGCGGTAATCGTTTGTAAAACCACCTCGATTCAGTATTTCTGAACACAAACGATGACCACTTCAAAATCACTCACACATATGAGCACAAGCTGCCAAATGCTAACATACATATGATTGCATAAGTACGCATACTCTGCCCAAGTACGATGATGTCGTGTAGTTGCATTGCTTTTCCTGCATCGCCAGCTGTCTGTCAAGTGTATGGAAACAGCTGAGTGCATAAAAGGTCGCTGTGTTGGCAGTATCGTGGAACGTCAGCCTTGCAAGCCTATAGTGCCGATATGATGTGTTCTGTATGCTGAGTGCGGGAAATTTCGCATGTTCGAGTGCGTGAGAGAGTGACATCTCTCGTAAAGGGAGATGGAAAGGGTTAAAAAAAAGGGCAGAAAACTACGAGCGTACATTTTATCTTTAAGAAGCAGTTTACTATTGCGATTCATTATATCAAATTCAGGATGGTATCTTAGCAGTGAAAAAAGTAAATAATTTTACAGGTGAGCAACATGAAAACATATAGGCGGATGTTTCGTGACGCTATGATGTGTAGAAAAATACAAATCACACGTACAAATGTCGCCTACAAATATTTTTTGTATGTGACAAAACATGCGCGATAACACCCTTTGCTGCATTCAACAAGCAGGTGTCTGCTTGAATCAAGAAATGGCCGCTCGCACAGTTATAACTATCTTGCAGTGACTGCATTTGTCATTCAACTAAACTACATAGGTCTCCAAATATTATGAAGCAATTGGTGAGAAAAGGGCACCGCGAGTGCCGGGTGAAACACGCAGAAAGCAACAGCGCTGGCAAGAATGTTCGTACGACGCCATGGCATCTTGAACCGGAAGTTGATGCCGACGGGTGCCGTAGCCACAATCCTTCGCGTGAGCCACAATTTTGTTATCCCCTTATTGCTTTTAGATCTAATGGGCATTTTCACTCTTTTTTGCTGATGGTCACGCGGTAGATTCACAATAGAAAGGTATACACTCAAACCTCACCATAACGGACCCGGATGTAATAAAATATCAGTTATAAATGAAGCAAGTGAAAAATATTCTTGTAAGCAATATAGTGTTAGAAATATACCTTTACAATCGAATTTTCAAATATGATGAACTTAATTTTGTGTAAGATTCAAATTTGTTATAATGAGGTTTGAGTGTATTAATTATGTATACCTTTGCACAAAGTGCACATCTGATCGAAATACATGGCTAGCAGCAGCTTCAGGGCAGAGTTGCAAGTTCCGCTTATAATAAGCTGGTTAGGTGTTTTTTTTTTCCGCCAAGTCGCTTGTCGCGTGTCTTGGGGTTTACGTATTTGCATTTTCTCACCAAACAGTTCTTTCAGTCATAATCACGTTCCTCAAGCACGTTTGTTGTTCACTAATAGCGTGTTTGTCGATGACTGAGTAGTTGTGTGCACAGGATTATGGGGCAGTCGATATGGGGCAGATGTTGTGCCCCCCTCCCCGTCAGTGACATGGGGGCACCTGCTCTCCTGTGCACATCTATGGTTGAGTGTAGAATTCAAGCATACATTGGAGAATCAAAAAGTAACGTTAATCATGTGCTGGCTAATGAGCCTTCACCAAATGGAGAATACCGTAGAGACAATATTAAGAAGTAGGAATGTGCCTTCGTTCATAGTGGATTATATTTTCACTGTACAAAATAATTAGGTGATTTTTCAAACTCCCCTTCGTACTTGAGTGACATTTTGTGATCATAATTAAAAATATTCTCATGAATGAAAAAATTCATTGTTTCCACTTCTTCTGAGCTTCTTTTGTCATGTTTGCTCGGTAACATCTAGCAACACTGCTTCAGGGGCTTCAGTGGTGCTGGCACGTGGTGGCAGTGGTAACAACGCAGCACACTGTGGGAATTGAGGCTGGCCCGCTGCCTTTGCGCGGGCTTTCCCGCCTTTTCTGCCATTCTCATGTCCCGACATGTCTGCCCTCCTTTGCTGTCAGCCGCGCTGGGAAGGGCGGAGTGACGTTTAACTCCCTCACCCGGTAGCGGATGTTGGCTGTGGCGCCGCGCGCGGGGACCCCCGTGAGGTTTTCGCGCGCTGCGTCGGGAGCGGGGAGTACAGTCCGGGACTTCAAACGGTGAGCCACGCATTCTTTTCCGTCCGTCGAGTCCCGTCGCTCGGGGCTCGTCGGACTTCGCTGACGGCGCCTCGCGCCCGATGCGAACGCTCACCCTTTTGTTGCCCCGCTGCGTACTCACGGCCGAAGGGCAGTACGGTGTCCTAGTGCGTGGCCTAGCTACGCCGACCCGTCTCCCTTCGAAGCCAACGCGAGCGCCTTTGTCCCGGTGTCTCCGTGGATTACCTTTACCGCGGAGACGTGCTCGTGGCACCCTGTGTAGTACTTTGTGCCCGTGGCGTGGATAAGCCTACTTGCTTTCCCGCCGCGCCTTTTTGCAACGGGCTGTACTGCGTTTGGTGTTGCCACAATAAAGTGTTGCGACGTTGAGCAGTATCGTGTTCTC